AGTGCATGCATGGAGAGTTGGATATATGGAAACTTGTAAACGAATTAAGATGTCCTGAAGAACCCCTACCGACTTGAAGGATTCAGAGAAGAGACAAAATAAGATCCCAGGAACTTAATACTCAGTACAGATTAAATTGAAAATACCTGAGAATAACAATCTATAGCAGTTTTGAAATCTTTGTCGCGGAATGCCAAGTCACCACGTTTCCTTGCATCCAACATATCTCTCATTTGTTGGGTCCACTCTTGGAAAGATAACTGTACAATCAGCATCCACATCCATACATTAGAAACAATTAAATATGTCAATGAGGAGTTACCATTTTTCCACTATCTAGGATAAATTACCTCATTGGACCCTTCGTCATCTTTATAATGTTGCATCACCAAGTATTGATGGATGGCAGTGAGATCCATGCGTGAACAAGCATCACCCATGGGAGAGAGAGGGTGTTGTGGAGTAGATGGTGCTTCTTCATGCTTTGAAATTCCCAGCATCACATAAGATTGAACCTGATATTGAAAATTTGATCGTTGGGTACATGTTGAGAAGTAATGCAATCAAAAAGACAATATAGAACTTGAGGATGGGGATAATGCATAAAAGTTGTCATTTTTGACATAAGCTTTAAAAAATATATTCAAGAGATAAAACTTTTGTCATTTCTAGCATGAGTGAGTACATCCTAAGTATGTGTGGTCAAGTCAACAATCAAGCTTCCCTCGAATCCATTTCATAATGTGGGGAAGACCTAAATAAATCCTGAATATAAGGAAAATAGATTAGGACTTACATTGGATTTATTTTGCAGCGGGGTTAGGGTAGAAACAAGATCTTTGGTTGTTGGTCGCTCTCTTGGTTCATATTGCAAACATTGTGAAGCAAGATCAAACACTACATTTGCCTCTTCGCTCGAGAAGTTCCCTTCCAAATGGGAATCCATCAAAAGAAGAATATTTTTGCCACGTATCATATCCAGTGCCTGAAAAGGGAAAAAAATGTAAAAAATGCACATGACCATAAGAATTAACTTCATCGCAATCATTAAAACAAAGAGAACATCATGATCAAAACAAAGAGAACATCAAGAACCATGCTCAACCAAGTCCAAGTGTGCGGACTTGGACATAGTATTTCTCCCACGAATTGAACGGCTTCA